GGGAAGCTGGCCGTCAGCACGCGCTCAGCATTTGCGCACACAGCTATGGCCGCCAGTGAATGGTCCCTATTGTGGTGTTCTCCCTCACCGCTTGTCCGGAGAAAGGAAATATAGTTCTCACATCTGGGCCCGTTTGCTTGAAGCTCTAACCGCGGCTAAAGTTAGCCGCAGTACCTAGGAGAGGGTTTTTTTAAGTCAGGTCACTGCATCGGTAGGGATGCGGGAAAATATGGCACTGCCCCGGTGAGTGAGCGCCGCTCGCTTTGGGACTAATATGTCGTTGTAGCTGCAATATCGGGCGCGTTAGTCAGCAATTAATGTTGCAGGAGGCTTTCGCTTTGCCTTGACTCACTTAAATCGCCACGCAAGAGCAATGACCTCGCCGCATTTTTTAGATAGTCTTTCGATTCTGGCCGTTCCGAAGCCTAAATGAACGCAATAAGTGTCGCCATGGCAACGTCTTTGGAAAGCGGATTGCCTGGACTCAATCGGCCGGGTATTGATAGCACACAAAAGCAGACAGCGTCCCAATAGACCTTTCTCTTTATTTCCCAGGCATCGAGGAGAACTGAGGAGAAAGCTAAAAGTGTAATTCTACGGTCCGCGCGCTGGCCTCCCTCTTATAAAAGGTTCGAAGTAAATAGTCATAATAAGGCTTTGACGAACGAGCGTGCAAAGCAAGAATGGTTTTAGACTTTTTGCTTTAGAACAATAACTACTGCAGGCCCCAGCACGTGCAACGCGTGTAACTGCACTCGTAGCATGCACCTTGGTGCTTGGGAAATTTAGAAAAAGGTCCATTGAGGGCGCTGTCTCCCTTTGTCTGCTATCAATACCCGGCCGATTGAGTCAATGCAGTCCGCTTTCCAAAGACGTTGCCATGGCAATAAGTATCGCGTTCATTTAGGCTTAGGAATGGCCAGAATCGAAAAACTATCTAAAAAACGCGGCGAAGTCATTGCTCATGCTTTGCGATTTAAGTGAGGTTAGGCAAAGCGAAAGCCTCCTGCACCATTCGTTGCTGACAAACACGCCCGATATCGCAGCTACAACGACATATTACTTTTGAATCGAGCGGCGCTCACTGACCGGGGCGCCGCCATGTTTCCGCGCATCCCTACCGAACCAGTCACGTGCTTTCAAAATCCCTTTTTCCTGTTACTGCGGCTAACTTTAGCCGCGGTTAGCGCTTTGAGCAAACGGGTCCTGGAAGCTCCACTCTGTCTAAGTACTGCCGGTTCCAGGAAACAGGACTGCAGAAGCAAGGCGGGAGAACGAGACAGTGTTACACCTCTGTCAGACGGGCACCTAAAAGTACCTTTATGCCAAATGCCTTTAGCACTTTCAAATGACCTTTACGTCCTGCCGTACCCGACAGCGAAAGTAAATGTCATTTAGACGATGTTTACAGCGATTGAAGTCTCGTAGCTTGGTTCAAACGCATCAATCATGTTCACGCCAGAAAGGTAATATTCTGGCAATATAAATATTGTTTTAAGTTTTTCTGAAGGAAGCAATACATCAAAATAGACAAAATGACGAGTTTGGTCGAGTGATTACAACAAAGTCCACTTCAAGCCCAAGCAAAGTGTTTTTTTGGCGATAGGCGGCAACCCTGGGCGTCTCCCGCTTCAGTCGTAACGTCGCTCTGTGCTCCCGGTCTTTTCCGTGCTTCTGCTACGCTTTTGCCCTGTTCGGTTCGGTGTCGTGCTCGCGCTTGAGGTCCATCGCACGCGTCGGAGGTCCTCCGGACGATCCTGCCAAAGTTGTATCAGCGCCCAGGTCGCCTCAACGCTTCGAAGGAAGCTGTGCGACCCCCGGTTCCTACTCGTGGACGCTCCTCCGTCGTTCGACGTATCGCACGACGCGAGAGTGAGATACAGAAATAAGTATGTACCAAAAAAAAACATTAAGTATATACAGTAAGGATAGTAATATAAGTAGAGAAATAAAAGCTAAATAACTATGGTTGTAAGGAAAATCGAGAGGAGGAAAACCGCAGTACCTAAGCGGACGACGCGAGGAGGCGACGACAAGGCCTACTAGATGGCTGGGGTGCTGGGGCCGTGAATACAGAAAACTATTCGTAGAGCGAGGTTTGTACGGAATATACGTGAAACACGCTCTTTTTCAATCATAAAAATGCAAACGGGGTGATTTTAGATATCGGTGCAGCCGTAAAGGTGTTCCGGGAACTCAGGATCAGGAAAAGGACCTTTACGCTAAATGCCATTTGAGTTGTCGTGTGGCACTGCCTAATTGACATTTACACCAAAGGTCCTTTGACGTAAAGGTCATTTTAGGTGCCCGTCTGACAAGGGTATTAAAGGCAACACTTTGGCGAAGCACTCAGTACTCTCGATGTCGTCCTACTTGCTCTTGGTTGTCGAAGATTGCTCGGCGCTTTTGATTTCCTCAGAATTAGTCTTGAGCCGTGCTCCCCCGAGATGGCACAGCAAAACAGCGAGTACACGTCCCTCGGGGCCAATGGCATGTTTTCCTGCATGACTGCCATGAAGTTCTTCTTTGTCGTGAACGAAATACTTGGTGAGTGCTGTAGGCGAGAGATGCAGAGCTACCTCGAGCAAGCCGTTGTCGGCCCTGGCGGCACACCATTTACCGACTTCGTCTGACGCGCACAGAGATCGATAGGTACAGCACAGACCTGTACCCAAGTAGATGGCCACTTGGATAAAGAGTACTAAGATTAAATAGCGCACAAAACGTCAGGGGAAGAGAAAAGGACAGTAGAATGTAAGAGTGCTAACTCCCAACTGATTTATTTAGAAAGAATAGAAATGGAGGAAAAAGTGGCCACGAAAATTGAACCTCACGTGAAGTGAAGAGTAGATAAAAGAAGAAAAAAAAAGAAAAGGAAGGAAATATGTACAGACATAAATGATAGATTCAAAAAAGAAGGAAAAAAAAGGAAGAAAAAGATAAAAAGAAAAGAGAAAAAAAACAAAAATAGAAGGCGGTACTTTCACCCTTGGCCGGCCAGAGTTACGGCACATGGGCGTTGGCCAAAAAAGACACCTCCTTAGCACTCAGCGAGAGGAACGGATGGCTGACGTCATTGCCACCCTCAATAGACCAATCTCACCGAGCGTTCGGCGCATGCGTGACGCCACCATAACTTTAGTTCACAGGAGGCAAGCGGCAGTGCACTAAAGGGCTCGTGCTGTCTCGTGCTCCTCACGCGCAGAACTCCAGCGAGGTTGTCGCACGTGCAGAAAGACTGAAGTTCCCTCGATGCATTGCGGCAGCGATGGCGTACTCAAACTGCCTGGTGAGATCGATCTATTTGAAACGCCTCGTAGATCTCTCGAGTACTCCGGTCTTGAAAATTCCTAAGAGCAGATGTTTCACCAAACGTCGGTGTGCACTGGCAGGAGCGACAGTGTGTAGGCGGGTGCCCGCCTACAGTGGCTTGAAGTGAATAGAAATGCTCTCTAAGCCGATCGTTGACGGCATAGTTCAGTCTGTCCAATATAGCATCTACCACACGTCAGAGGGATCTTGTAGACCACATCGTCTGTGCACGTAACGAACTTGTTCTTTTGATACTTTTGGCATACGGCTCGTGAACGATTGTCGAGGTTTTTGTATACACATCAGCAGGCAATGTTTCCGTTAAAATTAACAGAGCAATGTTTCCGCTGAATCTTGCAGGGAATATTTTTCCGCTAAATTTAGCTTCAACATTTTTCGCTAAAGTGAGCGGGAAAATTTTTCGCTAACTTTAGCGCGGAAGTGTTTCTGCTAATGTCAGCGGGGCAATTTTTTCGCTAAACTTAGTGTGAAAACTTTTTCGCTAAATATTGCGGGGAACGTTTTCTGTCAAGAAAATTTTCCCGATTAATTTTGCGAAAATATTTTTCCGATTAATTCAGTGGAAACATTTTTCCGCTCAATCTAGCGCCGAAGTTTTCTTTCTAAGTTTAGTGGGGAAATGTTTCCGCTAGATTTCGCGGAGAACTGTTTCTGCTAAATTTGGCGGGGAAAATTAGCCGTCCGTTTCGGGGAGGGGGGGGGGGGTCTTTTTTGCGCTAAATATAGCAGGAACATTTTCCGCCAACTTTAGTGGGGAAATTTTTCGCCAAATTTAGCGGGGAAATTTTTCCATAACGTAACTCGCGGTTACGCCCGGTTGCATTATTTCCATAATGCAACGCGAGCCGTTACGCCGACGACGACGGCGACGCCGCTCAAACCGGAAGCGGGCACCTAAGAGCTCAGCTCTAAAATGAAAGACGTTTGTAATTCTCTGTAATGCTACGGTGCACTAGAATACTGGGCAGTGTAGCGAGCGCGGGCGGTGGTGGGGCTCTTTCAGCGATGACCGGATCGGTGGCCGCGAGAGGGCGCATCGCGTCGCAGGCGTGCTGGCGGAGCGCGGAGAGTAGGCAGCGGTACCGCATGGCTGACTTGGCGTTCCGCACGGGTTCGATTGTTTCGTATTGTCTGGCTAACTCCTTACGGTACTCTTAGTTTCTTCTGTTTCACATAATATTTATCGTACTTTCGTTGCCAAATGCTTCCCGGGAGACGTACATCTTCGGGCAGTACGCCACAGTACACATCGCGACACTGCTAGCGCGAACGCGACTTTAGCACTTTTTCGCATTTACTCCGAAAGGAGTATTAGCGAGGACGACATTTTATCGTCTGCATTATAGACCCGAATAAGCTTTTTCAGTAGCAATAATAACTTTGTCGGCATCCCTTGGTTTCTAAGAGAAAAACCGGCGATCGCATTTTCGCGCTAACAGTAGCGTTCTTATCATGAATTAACCTGGCTTTTGGAACATTTTTGCACATCTGCATCCCCCAGCATATCTGTCGAACCTTGTAGAAATGAAGGCATCACATTTTGTACAGAACTATAAAGCACCGTGCTGTACGTATTTGTCAACGCATATTTATTCACATTCAAGATTAAATTTAAGACAAGAGCACAAAAATATAAAGCACACGTAATACTTTCAGAGGGTTTGTGCTCATTTGCACCTCCTGATCTTTAAGTACTTTAGTCGCTCTCTTTGGGAGGTCTTGTCACGGTTAAGTGACTTCGCATAAAAACGAAATCTGAGGAGAACATAAAACTTAACAATTTGCAGTGTAATTTCTCTTTCATGCGTGCTGCAGTCAAGTTTTGGGAGCTCGACAGCTTGCAAGAAACTAGACAGGTCGTACATATTTGTAGAAGTGATCTTCCTGGCGCTAAAAAAGACAGTGAAGGAGTCTTCCAGCGAGCTTACAAGCTCTGCAAGTTTGCCGGGCGGGTGGAGCAACCCACCAGAGTCAAACTCCTGGGTCAAATCGCTTCTTGAATCCAACCCTGCGGATGTCTTGGTGGAAGTCAAACATTCAGCACAGATCGTGTACCCCCTTTTTTGCAGAATCTTGCGGGCCACATGCCCGGAAACGTAGTACACAAGGCAGCTTGAGCTCTTTTAAGTTATGTAGTTGCTGTGATTTTCTGGAGGAAGAACTTTCAGGACAGCTTCTGCATCATCTAGTCTCTCTTTGTCAACCAGCTCGTCGAGCGCTATCAATCCCACCGGGACTGCTTTGGCCGGGTGTCACGCTGTTATGTCCAAGCAATGAACTGATAACCCCAGGGGTACAATTTCCTGTCTTTGGAGGCCGCGCTAGATTATAGAAAGCAAGCGCATTTAGTGTCGTCAAAAACTGCGCTGTTGTTGGATGATCATTAGTGCCATTGGACTGCCTTACGATTCCAAAAAAAATTTCCAGTTTGTCTTGGCTCAGCTTGGATGTAAGGAGGTACTTGAAACCACACTGTGAAGACAGGTAACACACAAGATATAGCGTTGACTGCAAAGTGACACGCAGGCCCTCCGCAGTACTCTCGCTCAAGGATCCCTTCTTAGAGTTCGGTGCGTGCGACTACCATTTCTTTAGAAAGTCAAGAAACTGCCTCAAAATTTTGAAGTCACGAGAGCCTGGTCTCAAGTCTCAATGCTCTTTTTGAGGAACGTGAGGTCATGATCTTGATCAGCTTTGACATCTTTAGGATGAATGACTCAGTCACTTAAGCTGGGCCACAAGACCTTTCAATTTCCCTGCGGTAACAAAATAGTCCTTCTAGCACCTCCTCACTGAAAAGACGGAGTTCTGGGCCAACCCTCATCTTTTCGAAGCGGTTCGGTATAAGATGTAATTTGCTTATGTGAGGCATAACTTGCAACGTCACATTTTCGCAGTCGCACGCGTTTCTGATGCAGTCAGCATGCACGCGACCCTTTGGTGTGCTGAAGCCACTGTCCAAGAACCGATTTCGCAGATTCTGCACTAAGTGTGGAAAGTCAGAAAAACAATGTGGAGCACGAATGTCATCAGCTGGGTGGGGGCACTTGCACTTGATGCTTGTGGCAGAGCCTGCATTATATAGAGCAGAGTGAATATCTATAGTAAGTTAAAACGGTATTGCATTATGAAGGGATGTTAGTTAAGGTGATTGTCGGCAAACTATTATGATTAAACTCATCCCCTAGATAATGCTACTAATATTACTATTATACCTATAACAAATGCCCAAATGCACTTGCAAACACAAATTTTAAAAGAAGTCACACCACAGGTTACCGCTTATTCGAAAATTTTCCACATGCTGCGATTCCAGCTCGCAGCGTCACATGTCACACGATCAACAAAGAGGCCGGCTTGTTCGCAAAGGAGCGTTGCTTTTAGGGCAATCTTGGCCAGGACATTTGCTTTCACATTGTTGTTCGAGGAAAAGACGCCCAAGATTTGCATCTGTTTTCCTACAAGAAGAGACGAAGTCCACAATATAACGTCATTAACACAATGAATAGTAAAGTCGGAAGAGTTAATCACCTAGAAGCAACAAATATAGGTCTCAGACAGAGCCGCACCCAGGGGCTTATGAGGCTTCAGCCCCCCCCCCCCCCCCCCCCCTTCCCTGAAATCCAGCCGACTCTATAATATACACATGCCTTTTGAACCCCCCTTCCCCTTTCCGCACCAAGTCATGGACATCGTAGCCACCTGAGCCCCCCCCCCCCCAAGAAAAAAAGTTCCTGGCTACGCTACAGGTCGTGAGATTAGAAACCGAAAAGACTGACGACGTCTCATATAAAGTACAATACCTGAGAAAGGCTCGGGGACTACCACCAAGCCATGGTCTGCAAGCTCTTCGCTGGAGTTCTCTTCACCGAACTGCCCTAGATCAACAAACCCCTCAAGGGAGCCTGTACAAAAAGGCACAAAAAGGCGATTCATGCAACAGGTGCAAAACAGCAGCTTATTAGTCATGACGAGGTGTAATGATCATCTGCAAGTGTTGAAAAAAAATTAAAGCCGCTTACAACTCCCTGTAACGCCGAATTAGAGCGCAGCTCTTGAGGAGGAGGAGGGAAGGGCACTGGGGGGGGGGGGGGTTAAACTAACCAGGGGGGGGGTCACGTGACCTTGGGGGTCACGTCACCCCCAATGCCGATGATGTCATCACTGACGTCACTGATGACTGATGACGTCATCAGTGACGATGACGATGCGGGTACCGATGACGTCATTAGTGACGTCACTGATGACTTCACCAGTGATGATGACGATGCGAATGTCGGTGACGTCATCAATGACGTCGCTGATGATGTCATCAGTGATGATGACGATGACGATGCGGATGCCGGTGACGACATCAGTGATGATGACGATGTGGATGCCGGTGACGTCATCAGTGATGATGACGATGACGATGTGGATGCCAGTGACGTCATCAGTGATGATGACGATGACGATGTGGATGCCGGTGACGTCATCAGTGATGACGATGACGATGCGGATGCCGGTGACGTCATCAGTGATGATGACGATGTGGATGCCGGTGACGTCATCAGTGATGATGACGATGACGATGTGGATGCCAGTGACGTCATCAGTGATGATGACGATGACGATGTGGATGCCGGTGACGTCATCAGTGATGACGATGACGATGCGGATGCCGGTGACGTCATCAGTGATGATGACGATGACGATGTGAATGCCGGTGACGTCATCAGTGATGATGACGATGACGATGTGGATGCCGGTGACGTCATCAGTGATGATGACGATGACGATGTGGATGCCGGTGACGTCATCAGTGATGATGACGATGACGATGTGGATGTCGGTGACGTCATCAGTGATGATGACGATGACGATGCGGATGCCGGTGACGTCATCAGTGATGATGACGATGACGATGTGGATGCCGGAGACGTCATCAGTGATGATGACGATGACGATGTGGATGCCGGTGACGTCATCAGTGATGACGATGACGATGTGGATGCCGGTGACGTCATCAGTGACGATGACGTCATCGGGGGGTCACGCGATATCGGCGGGGGTCACGTGACCTCGGGGGGTCGCGTGACCTCGGGGAGGGGGTCACGTGACCTCAGGGGAGTCACGTGACTTCGGGGGTCACGTGACCTCAGGGGAGTCACGTGACTTCGAGGGTCACGTGACCTCGGGGGGGGGGGCACGTGACCCCCCACGAGGTCACGTGACCTCGGTGGGGGGCTCGCGCGGTGCATTATGGGACTTTTCCCATGATGCACCGCGCGGTTACGCCGACGGCGACGCCGCTCAAGCCGGAAACGGGCCCCTAAGAGCTGCGCTCTAAAACATTGTCAAGTTAGTGAAAAAGCAATTTGTTTGCAAGTGCCGTCAGGGTTGTTAAATTATTACGCACTAACTGATATGAATTTTAAAAAGTGGAGAATTATACCTGAAGACTTTACGTCGAGGGGTTCAGAAAGCTTCATCACGTCGAAGGCTATAATTCCATGTCGACTGAACTCGTCCATCGTCTTCGTTTTTTCGCTCAGCGTAGCAAAAACATTTGGGCTAAATCCGAAACTATTTTTGAAGTGCTGCATGGCTTTCTTTAGGCAGGTTACGGCCAGGCAGTGCCAAGATGTCGTGCCGCCTTAGCGGTTCATGCAGCTAGGGACTTCGCATACGCATAAGTATGCACTCCAGGAGCCAATCCTTTTCATATCTCATCCCTTTCTTTGACTTCCTTCGCGCTGCTTAAAGGCATGCTCGTAGAGCCGCTTGCTGCTTCAATGGAAACCCTTTGATTTTCTCGGAGAGGAATTCCTCGGGTAGCTGCTGCTTCTTTGGTTTTGATTGGCTCAGGCTCGGTTGCGCTTTCTGTAGCTTCGTCCTCATCCGTCGCAGAGCCCGCCGAATAGCTGTTGTTTTGTTGGGCTTCCTCTTGACTTTTCACCTTCTTGAAGACAGCTGGTTCACGATCAACTTGCGCTGGTATTTGCAGTTAATGCATGCACCGCCTGCATCCTTGGTGAGAAGAGTGCAGCTCTTGTGAAAACAATTCCCGTTGAAAAATGGGCTCTCGCCAGCAACAGGCTGTAGGTCTGGGCCAGGGCACAAATTCAGCTTGCTGATGCGATCAATGAGTGCCTCTGCATCCTGTGGAGTAGGAACCTCCTCCTCGAGCAACTTTTTTTTTTTCAAGAACACTTAAGCCGTCGGAGCCTCTTCAGTTTCCCCCGACTGTGGCACCTCGATTTTCACCAGCCTTACCGAGACTATTCTGCTTTCGTCGCCGCCAGCATCCCACTCACACTCAGCGTAATGAAATGCCTTTTGGCAGCTTGGGAGGGCGATTTTTGACCACGATTCTGGAATTCTCAGGGTTTCAAGCGGCGAATGTTCGCTTTGCACGGCGGATGCCTCACTTTTCGATCCCTCATCGTCGTCGGGCGATCTACAACCGCCTACTTCTGCCAGCCCTGGCTCGTTGTCAGGTGTGTCCCTCGATCCGTCTGGAGCCAGACCCCCGACTCGCCGTCGCTTTGCCACAGAAAGTGTCTGGCCGCAAATGTTCCTGTCTTCTCCCTTCTTTGGCAGTGGATTAGAGGTGTACTTGGGAGCGTCTGGAAAAATGGTAGGGACGGCATCTGGAGTTAACAGTGGTCGCTCGCGCAGGACCTGTGCGACTTCACCCTTGATCGTTGTTTGAAACGTGCGCTGGATGAAGCGCGACGCGAAGTGGCATTCGCAAACAACGCTGCCATCATGAGGCTCCCTGTCACTCCTTTTGATGTTGCGGGACCACATGTCACGCTGATCGCACTCGAGAGGGGCACGAAAGAGCGATCGGGCCTCTTTGCAGGACCGGTAGTCGCTGTTGCACCTCGGCACAAAACAGGTCCTGTCTCTCTTGTCCCGCCGTCTCTCCGTCATTGCGCGCGGTTTCTACATGCCACTGAACGGCACCGACCGCGATCAAGTTCACTTAAAAATTTAAAGAGAACACTGCAGCAAAACAAAGCGACGACGCGAACCACGAGAACACAGGCAATACGAGAACACGGCAATCCGAGCGGAAAGGAGCACGGATGGATGGATGGATGAATACGGCTGAGCCCTTTGGATCGGGCGGTAGCTTACGCCACCTAGCCATTTTGTTTTACCATTTAAGCTTAGAATATTTAAATGTGAAATCTATACTTAGTCCGCAGTGCAAAGAAAGTGAGGCTATGAAACCCCCTTGCCATCAGTGAATAAGAAAATACCTAGTTTTCTCTCGATTTCTGCCACCATTCACTTAATCTTTGCTTGGTAATCTCTACAGTCTTGAAATCCACTCTCCCTTCGCTGTCTCTAAAGCCCATTGACTTTATTAAATCTATGTTGTCTTCGGTAGGCATAGGGTGAAGCCCTTTAGAGTAGAGTATCAAGTGCTCAGCCGTCTCGTCCTCCTCTGCACAAGCAGTGCACACTGTATCAATTTCCTGGTACTTCACTCCGTATGTTCTGGTTCGCAGAACAAACGTCCTCGCCTCAAACAGCAATGAGCTTCCCCTAGAATTATCATAAATTCTTTCTTTGGCAATAACTCTTTTTTTTAATTTATAACTTTCCAGAGCCGTCTTTGTCTGCATTCCCTCTAGCCACCGATCCCTTTCTGTGGCCTTAACTTTCTTCTTAACTGAGACTTGCTCTTCCGTATCTTCGCTATAGCCCAAACACTTTCCTCTTAATTTCCTAGAGCGCTGTCCCCACTTTGTGTCTACACTCCTCATGTATAAATAGCTGAACACCTTTCGTGCCCATTGCTCCCCATCCATTTGCCTCAACCTATCCTCAAATTCTATTTTGCTCACCGCTTCCCTGCTCTCAAATGACGCCCATCCCATGTCTCCTTGTACTCCCTGGTTTGGCGTTTAGCAATGTGCCCCCACAGCCAGTCTACCTACTCCACGCTGTTTTATTTCTAGTCTCGCATGCACTTCGGATTTCATGCATAGCACTGCGTTTCCAAAAGGCACCATGACCCCTTTCCAAATCTCTCTCACCACCTCGTACCTGTTGTAATTCCAAAGTGCTCTATTTTTCATTACACATGCATTTATGTTGCCCTTACCTATTATATACTTTTCATGCTCTCTGAGATATTCGGCACCATCACATATCCATACTCCTAGATACTTGTATTTACTAGTTCTTTCAACTGTAATATTCTGTATCTTCAGCCTCTCAACTTCATCCTTGTTAAAAATCATGACTGCTGATTTTTTGCTACTGAATTCTAAACCTAATTCCTCTCCTTCCCTACCACAGATGCTCATTAATTCCTGCAACTCTGTCCTGTTGTTAGCCATTAGTACGATATCATCCGCATACATCAATCCCGGTAAGGATTGCTGAATTTTTTGGCCTAGCTTACTGTAAGAAAGGTTGATTCCAAGCTTACTCTTCTCTAGTCTATCCTCCAATCCTCTCAGATACAACATAAACAGCAAATGCGATAACGGGCACCCCTGCCTAAGGCCTCGTCTTATCTCTATTTTCATTGTCGCCTTTCCTTCCCATGTTATAATCACCTTGTTATCTTTGTAAATGTTCCTTAATAGTGCTGTTAGTCCTTCATCTAGGTTTAAGTTCTCCATTATGTCCCACAGGTTTCTTTGGTTCACATTGTCATAGGCACCCTTGATATCCAGAAATGCCAGCCAGAGCTGTCTGTTTTCTTTTTGCGCTATTTCTATACACTGTGTTAGAGAAAATAAATTGTCCTCCAACCTTCTTTGTTTCCGAAACCCGTTCTGTAACTCACCCAGTATGCCCTCGCAATCTACCCATTCCTCCAGTCTGTTCTTTATAATCTGCATTACCTACGTGTAAATAACCGGTGTCCCGCTTATAGGACGATAATTCCTTATATCAGACTTATCTCCCTTTCCCTCATATATCATACTCATCCTACTAAGCCTCCAATCATCTGGAATATT